GCAGCAAATGCTCCGCCACCAAACCTGCTGTGTTCTGAACACGGCCCATGGGCCTGTGATGCTCATACCAGAATTATATTTCAAGTAAGAGCAAAAGTTCTGGACTGATACCAGGCTTGTTTTTTTCCAATCTGTAACCCCATTTAATTATTTCCATTATGACGTTGCCTGTGACAACCTGAAAACATTTTATCTGTGTGCACATCAGCACCCAATGTTCATGATTTTAACTCCACTTTAAAGACAAAGAACACAGTTTAAATGTAAAAGAAGGTTGGTGTAATCTCTTGTCAGGTACAGGAATGAGTTTGGGAACTGACAATTAATTGGATGCACAGTTTTAAGTGCTCAATGTTCTGTTATTATGTCAGATAAATGCACAATTATGGTTTTATCTTTGGCCAAGCTCTTACTTGATATGACATAATTCCTTTTTGCTCCCTAACTTGTTAAATAAATATTTCATCCATACAAATGACTTTGACTGTCAAAAGCTGGGCAGATATTATAATTACACAAGATTAGGATTTATTGAAAACAGTTGTGTACCTTTATATTAATAGGATGAAATACACTCGGAGACAACCAAACAGATCAAGATGTACTCATTAAATGAGCTGCAGTAAGTACTAGCTTCTAGTTTTCATGTTCAAGAGAGAGAAAGTTATCTCTACTGATAGTGCCTCATATTTGGAACTGTTCTGAACACCATAAACATTAAAAAAAATCTCAATTAAAAGGCTTTCTTTTAGTTTAACTTTCCCCCCAAAGGACCTAGGCCTATATTGTTCTATCAAGAGAGGGGTGAGGAATATTTTTAAGGAAAAAAATCCCAAAACCCTTTAAACGAATCCATGACTGCTTTATGCTGCTGTGCAAATGAGATGGCACTGAGCAGTGGGATGCATCCCAGGGGCACAGCAGCATCTCCACTGAGCAGCCACAGTGCCTTGGGAGGTGAGGGTGCAGCAGGGACCCCACAGCTCTCAGCATCTCTCCAAGCACTGCAGCAATACACCCAATTCAGAATCTTTTGGGTCCTCATTTTGTCCTCAACAGTCACAGAGAGCAGACACAGACACATCCCAGTGTTTTGCTGCTGGGGTAACTGGATGTTGATTATAGGACAACACTTCCTATTATTATTTTCACTATTTGAGAATAATAATTCTTGCTGAGGAGCTCTGGCCAGTGGAAGACTGTGGCTTCATGTTATTCAAGTGGCATATGTAAGCTCCCAGCAGAGCAATGAAAGAGCAGATAAATGTCTCACCTGAAGCTCTTGTCCTCTGCTGTTACGGGTGAGCAGGGGTCCCACGGCACTTCCCCAGGAGCTCCAGCATGGCAGGTGTGGGAGCAGCTCCTTTGGCACAGGTCTGTCAGCTGCCAGGTGTGGGTGCTGTCTCCACTGGTAAGGACCTCTTCGAAAAGCTTACCCAAAGAGCACTTCAGAATTTCCAAAATTAATGTCCAAGGAGCAAACCTTTCCTGCTTTTGGGTGAAACAAAATGAGGTGGAAAAATCACCGAGGTTCACGTGGGTTTATCTTTCTAAACTTATCAAACAGTGCTGGTAGGTTTGCCAGAAGGAAGACAGCTCTCAGTACTTAGAATGGGTTGAGGCTTGGTAGTCTTAAAAATGTCTCAGCAAAAGACAATGCAGTACAAAAACATATTTTGTGTTTAAAAATAGTCTCAACGCTTGTTAAAAGGGATTTAGCAATGTTTTTTTCCTGTATCAGCAAACGGAGCTGTATCAGCTGACAAAGTAAAAGGGTAACTCTGGGAATGAGGAAATACTGTTTTATCTAATTTACTAGAGCCTGAGGTGAAATATCAACTCAGCCCTGAGATCTGATGGGGTGTAAATAGCCTAAACAAAAACACTGCTGCACTTGCTTTGGAGGGGATGAACTCAGAGGTCTTCAAAATTGTGAATGGTGTCACAAAAGACACCTTTCATTTTACTGATGCATTC